GTAGGTACGTTAGCAAGTGCCAAAAAATTTAAGGTGTCTTAAATTAAAGTTAATAATTTCATATTTCCTGTCTTAGCCTAGCACCGGTTGGTTAAATTTATGACTGTTAACGTAATTAAGGTAAAAATAAGAATTTCTTTAAACAACTTACCGTCGTTGGATGAGAAAGAACGTTTATTTCTGTTTACACTTCCCACAATCTGAAACGAACCAAACTGTATAAACATATAATATGAACATACATAAATTATAATGATATGTTTGACTTATAAATGCGCGCAAGTTTAGTTGTCAAGGTTTAGCAGTAAGCGGCGCAAATAACTTTTCCTGTTTATTCTAACCCCTAAAGACTACTTTAAGCAGAGGTCAAGCGAAGCGACCGTCTTAATTGGAGGCTGTGGTAGTTACAATTAGGTAGTTTACAAGGGTAAGGAGTTTGCAACTTTGAAATGAGATATGACGAGATTGCTTTAAAGGAGACAAATAACATCCAAGTGTTACAAAATTCTGCAATGAATGTGTTCCACTGTTGGAGGTGGTATTTGGGGGATCGCCTTCATTATCAAACTTCTTTCGTACTTTTACAATGAAAACGTAAGACAAAACTTATCGTCGTGATAGGCGAAAGAAGCAGAATTTCCCTACACTTCTGAAACTATGGGACTGACACCGGGGATGGAGAGAATTATGTGATACTGATAAGGGAGGCGTAAATTGAAGTATAAACACGCTAAAAGCGTTTTCGTATTTCCGAGACAAAAGTGACAACTTCACTCCATTATGACAAGGACTCAAGTGTCACTTTTTGTCCCTCCGGGATTAAATTCGGACGAAAATCTCGGAAGGATTAAATTACAAGCAAATCGATTTACTACACATTTTATTGATGATAATTAATTAGAATGATAATTGAAGTTCATATTTACATTAAGGTTGTTACAGTTCGTAATGTTAGGTAAATGAATAAAACACTTATTAACCTAAGTCGGTATAATTATATGTGGACTGTAACAATATCAAAATAATAATGTTCAAATTCTCAATCACTATCAACTAAACACACTCACAACGAAAAGAGGGGATTTCAAGCGCCAAACAATCGTTATTTGTGTACCAAGGCCGTAAAAGTGATCTTTTTTGGCCGAAGCTGTTGTTTGTGGCCGAGGCGGTAGCCGAGGCCGCAATTCAGATGAGGCCTAAACAAATAACTTTTGGCCAAGGTGCACACAACATTTTTTAGGCGATCATCAAAAAAGAATTCAAAAATTTGCTCATAAACATATTTTTTCTGAAAATCATAGTTATCTTAGACAATTAAAAACAAAGCATTTCCTGTCGTATGTAATTATAATTAGCATCTTTGCGTGTTTTGTGCTTATCAAAATGGGCGATAGCGACAGTTCAGATACCCTAAATGAAATTTTGGAAGATGCAAGCATTGCGACCCTAAGTCATATATGATATAAGAGCAGGCGTTTGAGAGTAAAAGTACAATCGCAACATCCTCCGTTGCACAAGATTTTAATAACGTCAAATGCAATAGGTCCTTCGTAACTGTGGCTTCCAAGACCTTATAGTTAACATGCTGTACAATTATTAGAAACCTGATTACCTACTTTGATGGCAGGTATAGGTAGCTACTTGTGTTTTCGGTTAATTGCTGGTGATTCTTCGTATAATAATGTAAGCAATAACATCTTCCTCATGTTTTGGTTCTACACTTCAAAAAGGTCTGCAAGCAGCAAAGATTGAAACGTCAAACTATCATTTTAAATGTGAACATTGTGATTATGGAAAATAGTGTGAAACATTCCTACAAGTCCGAAAATGAAAAAAACGCACGTGGATGGCCCAATCCTTGATGGGGGCTAGACCAGATACACGCTTTGTATTAAACAGATTACTGTTTCTCACACATCAGTTTCAAATAAGTAGGTACAGTTTGACAGATGTGTACAATAAAGTAAAGTTTGACAGAAGCGTACAATAAAGTTAAACTTTATGGCCGCAAAAGCGTCCACAAAATCAACGTTTTTGTGATGATAGCCTAAAAAATAATTTAAAATATTCTTGCAAACATATCGCACCCCTTGGAAGAACTCAGTTCTTTCAAAATCAATAATTACATAATACGGTAATACAAAAAAAATCAATGAAAAATCAAGTACGTACAATGCCTTATCTTAACATAAAAGGTAAATATAACTTGTGTACAATTATACATAAATGCAGAAAAATTAAATAATGTACAATTTCAGTTACCGTACATTAAAAAAAAAACAAGAAAAAATTGTTCTCTTGAAGAAACCCAACAAATATTAAATTTTCAAACAAATTTTATACATATCTGTTTTCTCAGGTCACATTATGCTCTATTGGTAGCACACAAACACGATTAATTGCGCGTTTGACGACACCACCGCGCACCTTTATTTCGACAACTCGCGTTACACCGTCTTGCCCTGGATACAATTTCACCACTCTTCCCAACGGCCAATTAAGCGGAGAGACGTGATCTTCCTTCAGTAAGACGAGTGAATCAATTCCAATCAAATTCGTGCAATTTTCTTTCCACTTAACCCTTGTTTGTAGTTCTGACAAATATTCTTTCTGTCACCTTGTCCAATAATGTTGGATGATAGCCTGAAGTCGTTGCCATCTTGAGAGTCTATTATCAGGTATTTCCATTAAATTTCCCTGAGGGAATGATGTCAGCGTACGTCCAATTAAAAAATGAGCTGGTGTTAACGCTGATAAGTCTGAGGGATCTGAGGATAATGGACAAAGGGGTCTAGAGTTTAGTATAGCCTCAATTTCACTGAGTACCGTACTCAGCTCTTCAAATGTTAAAATTGTGTTACCAACAACTCGCTTAAAATGAGATTTAACACTTTTTATACCAGCCTCCCATATACCCCCAAAATTAGGAGCACGAGCAGGTATAAAATGCCATCTAATTCTTTCTTTGGATAAAAAATCAACTAAATTTTCAGAATTTGACTCAAGAAAAGTGTAAATCTTTAATAATTCATTTTTTGTTCCAACGTAATTAAGAGCGTTGTCTGAAAAGATATTTAATGGTTTGCCTCGTCTGCTAATAAATCTCCGAAATGTAGCAATAAATGCATCTGTGGTCAACTCACTCACTAATTCTAGGTGCACAGCTTTTACGCTCATGCATATAAATAAACACACATAAACCTTATGTGTTTTTGAATTTCTACCCTTTCTATCTTTGACATCAAATGGACCGCAAAAGTCGGTTCCAACGTTATAAAAAGGTAGGTAATTGTTAACTCTTACTTCCGGCAAATTTCCCATCAGATAATTTGAAGATTTTGGATAAGCCTTAAAACATTTGACACAGTTTCTAATAATTTTTTTACACAGATGTCTACCCGAAATGGGCCAATATTTTTCCCGTAGTGACGATAACACCATTTGTGCACCAGCATGTAATAACCTTTCATGTTCGTGTTTTATGATAAGCTCGGTAAGTATGTGATTTTTTGGAAGAATTATAGGATGAATTTGATCAAAACATTGTTTAGAGTTAGAAATTCTTCCGCCTACTCTAATTAAATTATTATGCAAATATGGATTTAAGCTTAAAATTTTACTACTAGATTTTAAACTAATACCTTTTGTTAAACAACTATACTCTAAAGGAAAACATACATTTATTAAACTATAGAGGGCATGATCCAACTCATCTGGTGCCAAAACACCGTAATTTCTGGAATCTTTTCGTAGCTTGGAATTTTTTATAAACCTAACTACGTAAGCTACAATTCTAACAATTTTTGTAACCTTAGAAAAATTTTTTATTATAGTATTTAGACAGTTTTCTGTCTGAACTGTCAAAGCTGTGGTACGTAATTCTGGTATCTCAGTATCTATAAGATTGTAATTAAATTTCCAGTCACAGCTATTCAACTTCAGGAATTTAGGTCCCTCCCACCATAAATTATTATTTTCCAAAATGTTTGGGTAAACCCCTCGCGACAACAAGTCAGCAGGATTTTCGATTGAACTTATATGATACCATTGATCACCGGAAGTTGTAATTTGAATAGTACTAACACGATTTGATACAAAGGTTTTCCACCTTGCAGGTTCACTTTTTATCCATGATAGCACAATTGTTGAGTCTGTCCAATAATATCTTTTAGTAAAATTTATTTCTAAACAATCAATAACCTTATAGGCTAACTCAGCTAATAGCACCGCAGCGCATAATTCTAATTTAGGTAGACTAATCTTTTTCAATGGGGCCACGCGTGATTTTGCGCATAGTAATTTGGTATAAATACTACCAGATAAGCTTACACATCGAATGTAAATACACGCTCCAAATGCTAGTTCAGAGCCGTCTGAGAAGCCGTGCATTTCTATTTCTACGCAATCTGACATCACAACTCGCCTTTCAATTTTATAATTATTAATAATAGGCAAATCATTAAGAAAAGCCTTCCACTTTGATTGCAATTTTTCCGGAATTATTTCGTCCCATTTTAGTTTTAGCACCCAACGTTCTTGAATTATCATTTTTGCAATTATTATGACTGGTCCTAATAAACCTAACGGGTCAAATATTTGGCATATTACAGCTAACACATTTCTTTTTGTGACTTTATCGAATACAAAATGATTTTATTCACGATCATATTGTAATCAGTCTCATAATTGTCATTTTGAAGGATAAGGAAGTTGTGTTTTACAACACTTATTTTTCCAGGAGGGAGGAAAGTAGATTCTCGAGGTTAGTAATGTTCGATTCGAGGTTAGTAATATTTCATTACCTACCTCGATTTAGTTGCTAATATCCTAATGGATGGCGCTCTCATCGTAACTGTCTGACACAGATGACAGCTGATTAAGCTGATTTAGATGCAAAATGTTCAAAACCGCATTTTAAAAACAATTCTTATTCTTATAATGAGTAATATGGATTATTTCAAGCTCTGTGCTTTTTTTTGTAAATTGCAAATGAACGACCAAACGCGAAAATGTGAAATAAGTAAATGCGAAGACCGAAGTAAACACAAGTAGGAGTTGTGATTAACTTTAGCCAGATTACGGAGATGATGGATTGTTTCACGTAACCTAAAACTAAACGAGCGCGGTGCTAAATGGTTAAGTAAAAACAAAAGCAAAAAGAAACCGTTAATTATTGAAGGATCGGTAAGTGTATAAAACTCGAACTTTAGTTTAATGAAATTGATTGTTACTTTAGAGAACCCATTACTGTTTAAATTTCTGGGTGGAAAAGTTCAATTCTTGTCCATAAGACATGGAAACATTGGGTTGCGCTTGCGACCCATGAGAAGAGCAAGGGATGGCAATTTATGGCATCATAATGTTGCATATCGGAGACATCGTAGCACTACCTGGGATACTGCCATACTTTATGTTATTATCGCGTGCCCGTAACGCGAATGAGCCACTGAATGGGCGACGAAACCTTCTGCTACTGCAGCCGATCTACAGCCACCGAACTGTTTTAAGTTGAAGAACTCCACCAGCACTTGCTAATATTGTAGCGATGAGATGCCAAAAACAATGTCCGGTAATTAAATGTAGGTAATTTGTCACATTTTAGAAATAGATAATGCTATTTTTTAGGGCTATCGTATTGGAACAGGTGTTTAGTGACTACCTGATTGGATCTGGAGAATACATCTTTCGTTATTGACATCTACACAGATTATAATACTAATATTGTAACCCAGTCTAAATCTGTAATCATAAAAGATCGTTGTAGGTACATTTTAGAATAATAAAACTGACATGGTCATTAGGCATTAGGTTTGAATGTGGATCACAACATTATTTGGTCGTTCATAATGTGGATGATTTCTTTACCTTTACCTCGTTAAAATAAGCAAGTAAAACATGAAGTTTTACCTATACCCTTTCCTGCCCACCATTGTTCATTCTCTTCAAAAATTCATTCGGGGAGTAAATTTTTTACTACACTCAATTTCCCTTATTTGAGGGGATGTACATTGAAATTCTTTAGTATGGCCCATTTTTTAACATGCATGTTAATATGAATATTAATTAGGTAAATTTCCAAATCTGTATTACCGACAACATTTTATGTAGGGCAATAATATTGCAGATGGCGCATAAGATGAATATACTACGTATAAATTTAGTGAATTATTTTATTTTTGATAATGGAATGATTATAATGATGATCGTGAATAAAATCGTATACGAACCTCGACGAAAGGTTATTTTTCTTAGAATATAATCACCCGAGGCGCGCAAAAATTCTTCGAAAAATAACCTACTTTCGCACTCGGTGCGTAATATACTATTAATTGAATATTGAATAATATCGTCATTGGAGTTCCAAAAAATTCCTAAAGTTTTATTTTGTTCGTTCGCACCTATTTGTATAATACCTTGATCTAATCCCTTACTAATTTCAAACCTTTTCAGTATTGCACTATTATTGCTCAACCATTTGCGTAATTCAAAACCAGCTTTTGATAAAATTCTAGATAAACACTTTTGTATTTGAAGAGCATCATTTATTGATTCTACTCCAGTGAGAAGATCATCTAGGTATATAAAATTCATTTAATATAATCTTACTTACTGCGGGAAAATTTTCTTTACATTCGTTTGCTAATTCTACCAAACATCTTACCGCCAAAAACGGTGCAGATGCAGTAGGTACCATACGTCAATTTTTTAATTCAAAACATCTAATTCCATCCGATACGTCAGCTCGCCAAAATATTTTTTGAAATTTAGTTTGTTCATCACTAATTAAAATTTGACGGTACATCTTAGATATGTCTGCCGTCATCACGATTTTATGCTTTCTAAATCGGGTTAGTATACAAAAAAGATCTTGCTGTAGTTTGGGACCAACGTACTGCACTTGATTTAAAGAAATACCAGTACTTGATTTCGCAGAAGCATCGAACACTACGCGACATTTACTAGTAAGGCTACTGGTTTTAAATACAGCATGATGAGGCATATAATAATCTGTTGATAAACTATCCGAACTATCTTTACTCTCTACCATGTGGCCTAACTTCTCATATTCTAACATAAATGCGCAATATTCTGACTTTACTTCTTTATTTTTCTCGAATTTCTGTTCAAGTAACTCGAATCTACGTAAAGCACTATCTCGCGAATTCCCTAGCTCAAGTAAAGATTGCTTAAAAGGTATTTTGACAACAAATCTACCCTCATAATTTCTCCTAATTGTGTCCCTAAAATAATTTTCACAGTATTGTTCTTCCGCAGTTAACCTTACCCTTTTCTGTTCCACTTCTTCTATCTGCCAAAACCTAACCATCGTATCATTTAGCAATTTGTCTGCGTAATTAACATTTAAAAAACTAGCCGATGTGCTATTTAATGGTAAATTTAAATTTCCTCCAATAATCCATCCAAACTGGGTATTTTGTAAAACTAGCATATTTGTACCTAGTCGATCTTGACCTAAACATAAGCTGGACCAAAATACAGAAGCTCCTAACAATATGTCGATTTTAGAAGACAAATTAAAATTAGGATCAGCTAATTGTACCCTTTTTGGTAACATAATATGATTTCTCCCAAACGATACAGTAGGTAACTCATCAGTTACCTTGGTTAATACTAAACAGTCAATATCAATAGTAAAATTATTATAGCAAGACTTAATTGACACATATACCCTCTTGTCAATATTCGTTAAAGCTTCAGCTACACCCTTTACAAGGATATTAATTTTATGAGGCTGTGCACCAATTTTTTGGCACAAATGATTTGAAATAAAATTACTTTGCGATCCGCTATCAATTAAAGCCCTTCACGTTATGTACTCATTTCTATGATTTTTAATTTTAACAATTGCTGTAGATAATAACACTTGTGAAACAGCTTTTGTTAACTTTATTTCTGATAAGCAACTAACGCTCGACGAATGGGCCTCAGCCACCTGGTTATCATGGTTAGAGTCGACTTCAATTCCCGAACTAGATTTTTCTTGATCTAAATGCAATAAAATATTGTGCGCCTGTTTACACTTATAACATTTATTTAGTTTACAATTAAAGGAAAAATGTTTATCTCGTAAACAATTTAAACATAATTTTAATTGCTTAATTGCATTCGTTGGGTACTTCCATGTTTGAACTTCAAAATGTCAGTCTTACTACGCTGCCAACCTAAAACTTAACGGCATAAAAAGTGTTCCCAACATAAAACATGTTAGTTCTAATGTTCCCTATAGTTTCTGATAATGATTTTTTTAATTAAATTAAAGCACCGAAATAGAAAAAATAGTATGAAAAACGCGTGTTACAATGCTTTATTGTAATACTCCTATCTTGCGGACACTCGTGGCTACGCTTCGCGTCGCCACTCGTGCCACAAGATAGTCGTATTACAATAGGTCGCATTGTAACACTTGTCTTTCAATATACTATTACAACGAGTTAAATTCGCTTTAATCATTTTTTTATTATTTTTAAGGCCCACTGCATTAGGCATCTTTTAGAAATTGAAACCACACAAAATTCTATAAAATGGTAAAGGTAAAATTGCTTACGTGATAAGAAAGGATCGGTATGTGGACACTTGCAGACTATCGCATTGACTCTCTTCGGACACCTGGATTGCTTTCTGATATCTTCTTATCTCGGCTCGATATGACCAAAATGTTAGGTAAATGAATAAAACACTTATTAACCTAAGTCGGTATAATTATATGTGGACTGTAACAATATCAAAATAATAATGTTCAAATTCTCAATCACTATCAACTAAACACACTCACAACGAAAAGAGGGGATTTCAAGCGCCAAACAAAATAATTTAAAATATTCTTGCAAACACGTAATATTAACCAGTCTTTCCTGGGTTAATGCAGCCGATACGTCACGCGCAACAGCTAAGTCCTTTTCATATGAGATTGTTGTTTGTTTCGACGATACTGGCGATAATGCAGACAATGGCTGCGTAACTATGGAAGATAAATGGGTGACTAGGCCGAATATTTTATCTGGTATGGTTTCTTTATTAGTATTCAACATATTCCTCAGCCACGGCGGAGGATTTCCATCCTCCATGCCTCTTCCGCACGTCTATTGTTGCTCCTGAATCAGCTAATAAAGACGCAGTAAAGCAATGCCCTGTATAAAACGTCGGATTTTCTAATTTTAAGAAATCTGCTATTTGGCGTGGAAATGTACCAAACATATTTTTTCCTACTGGCCTAGTAGTACATTCTTTGTCGATGTATTGAACAAAGAATTTTGAATGAGGTATCCCAGTCTTTCTCAATGCCACATACTTTCAAAACACCCCTACAAAATTGATAATACTGTTTTCCGAGTTTTTGATCACGAAATTTCTGTCAATTTTATTTTTGGTATTTCTAACCGCAATTAGGTCCCCAAGTCTCTCACATCGTCGACTTCTAAATTAAGCAGCTCTTTTCCACGACAAGCTCCCACAACGCCAACAATAAGGACAACCTGCAAAAATTTGATTTCTTAAAAACATGAAAATAAACACATGTTCAACGTTACCTTAACCATTAAATATGTATCATCGGAAGCCTCCTGTAAAAACAGATCTACTGGCTCAGGTGTTAGAATTTTGGACATCGTTGGCTTAAATCCCTCATTTCTTCTCTTCATAAGGGCTAATAATTTCGGAAATTTTCTCTAACATTCATGACCGACTTCAGCATCGAGTAATGTGCCCAGAGAGGTGAGGCACAAACAATTTTTGATTTTTCGTTAAAGTAGACCAACAAGGCATTTTCGGTAGTTTGTTTCACATCCCTTATGCAGCACCACTTCTTAAATGCATCGTACTGCTGCTCATATATCTTTTTCGACTTCGGTGGTAGCATTTCCTCACCTACTTCGGCTGCTTTTGATCAATATCGAATAAACCGTTGTCACTCATGACCAAGCTTATGTGACACTAGCAATGACAGTTTCCAAATTATTTTTGTTACCATAGCTTAGGGTTTGTCGTACCAACGCTGGTACCATTCACAAGCAGAGCCTTTCCAATTCAATTCACTCCTGTAATTTTAGCAACAAGTCAGCTGATTATTATTTCATACTAACGAAAGCCGAATGGGCTCATCCCGCCTTCATTTTTTATTTCTGATCCACAAAGTACATTAAAAATAAAAAGACCCGTGTGTCCTCAATTTTTATTTGCGAGTAAAATAAACCCAAAATAAATTATTGAAAAGCTGTGTTTTTAGTCCGAATTTGAAACGCTTCAGACTAAATACGTCACAAACCTACAACCAATCACGTAGAAGTGAGCTGGCAACCTTACGCGAGGGTCTGACGTTTGTCACATTTGACGTTTTGAGAGGGATGTTTAACCGCATCTAGCACGAAAGTGACAAGTGCCTGTGACAGATGACGCAAGTTATAAATGCCATTCTCCTGCAATATTGCCAAGTCGTTATGTCATCTGAATGGTTCTAGGAGCTGATTGGTCGGGCTTATTACGTCACAGACCCGCTACAATCATATCGTTTTGAATAAACCTTTAAAACCGCACATGTTCATTATTTTTTTGCTAATCAGCCTCTATTTTTAAATAAACTTTTACTGTCCAAAAAAATGTTTGATGGTTTCAGGTACACGCTTATTAAATTAGAACTGCGGAATTCAACTATACTGTAAACCCCCATTGTGTAATTTTCTTTACTTAATATTGTATGTAATAGTCATCAATACATTCGTAGAAAGCTGAATGACTGAGCTTTCAGACTAATTAATTTTTCGTAGAAATTTGGGTGCCAAAGGATATTATT